CCCACACACACACAGTGAGGGTGTGGGCCTGTGTTTGTGGTGTGGGGGCCTCTGGGTGTCTGTGGGCCTGAGAGTGTGAGTGAGCGTGTGTGCGCGAGAAGGGGCGTGGGGTGTCTGTGGGCCCGAGAGTGTGAGTGAGCGTGTGTGCGCGAGAAGGGGCGTGGGGTGTCTGTGGGCCCGAGAGTGTGAGTGAGCGTGTGCGCGCGAGAAGGGGCGTGGGGTGTCTGTGGGCGTGTGCGTGCGAGAAGGGGCGTGGGGTGTCGGTGGGCCTGAGAGTGAGCGTGTGTGCACGAGAAGGGGCGTGGGGTGTCTGTGGGCCTGAGAGTGTGAGAGAGGGGGCCAGGGGTGTGTGTGTACCTGAGCCTCCGAGTGAGTGTATGTATGTGAGAGAGAGGCCCTGGGGTGTGTGTGCACGCACACAAATCGATGAACATGGGCCTGTGGGTGCAAATGGCCATGTGGGGCCCGAGGGGGAGACTGCTAGCCAGGGTATGGATCTCAGGCCAGCTGAGACTGAGGGCAGCAGGAGGGAGTGGGGGCAGGGCCACCTAGTAGGAAAAAGGGGCTCCCACAAGGGGCGGGCGAGGATTCTCGGGACAGATGTGGCAGCCAGAGTGGAATCCTGTATGGCCCGACCCTGCTGTCAGTACAGGGGCAGCGCACGGGTGACGCCTTCTCCTCTTCCCCAGTTGCAGCAGCGCTGCAGAGAGCTGGAGCAGTCGCTGCAGGCCAGGGACCAGGCCGCACTACAGCATCTCCTGCCAGCAACTAGGACGGATTCTGCTTCCCTCGGTGACTCCGGGCATTGCTCCACTGCGTCTCCCATACCGACAAATAAAGGCTGAGTCCTGCCCTCAGGGAGGGACAATGGCAGGAGGGACTGGACCCCGTTTTGCTGCCTCTGTTAATTGACAGACTCCGTATGCATGTGTGTGCGTTGCTCAATGCACATGCGTGTCTGCCACACCACCCTCTCCTGGATGGAGTCCGACCTGCATCTCTGACCTGCCTTCCAGGGGTGGGAGCCCCACAGCTGCTGCTGCCAGCGGCTCTCTGAGATTTGGGGGCACGTGTTTCAGGAACAGAAGTTAAACCTGGAAAGTGAGAGCAGGAGGGACTCAGCTCCCCCAGCTGTGACTGCAAGGACTAGCAGAGTCAGGCCCCCTAGGCCAGCTCAATGTCCTGCGGAACAAGGCCAAAAGCCTTGAGCCGCCAACATCCCCCCGCCCCCAGCAGTGTATCGCTCAATTTATCCTTCCCTGCAGTGTCCCTGTCGTCCAAACACTCAGCCCACATGCCACCTAGGACCCGCATAGCGCCGGCCTAGACTCTGCCGCCAGAGGGGGCAGAAAATGCACCCAGGATGCTGTGTAATGCCGATGGTATTTCCAGGTAACCCATGGGGGTGTCTGTGCTGTGTCCCAGCTGAGCCCACAAGCGGTTCCAGTTCCCCAGGGACCAGCCTAGGGCTGGAGCTATCCAAATTACATGCCATCAGCAAAGGCCTGGGCCAGCCCAGCTCTAGGGCCCCCATCCACAAATTTAGCAGCAGCAGCCCCAGAGTCTGGGTCCCCAGAGCGCCCTGCTAGGAATCTTTGCCCCCTATTGCACTGTATCCATGGGGTCACGCCGCATGGAGGACGCCAGTTAGTAGCCCAAAATGGCATCCTCCATACACTTGGGCTTGCCACAGCCACCGCCGCTGATGGAACGACCCCACTTGGGGCCACGACCCAGACTTTGGGAACTGCTCCGCTTGCCCTTTGTAACCTGGCTGACGCCCCACGTCTCAGGCCCAGCTTGGCCAGGCTGAGACTCACACGTTTGTGGCGTTTACATCCTTGTCCTGGGCACTGAATACTGCTGCATGAGTCTGGGGTAGATGGAGACTGGGCAGCCACTCCCATTACCCCATGGGCCAGTAATTTCCGCTGTAGGCAACATTCCCCTGTAACTCCAAGCAGTTCAGCGCCATGGCAGAGATGCTGGTGATGGAAGAGCATGAGCAGCTGGCTTTTGATAGGTGCCCCCCCCAGCAAGGGTCGGGCCAGGCTCTACAAACAAGGGTAAAGCCAGAATATAAGAACGGCCGTACCGGGTCAGACCAAAGGTCCATCTAGCCCAGGATCCTGTCTACCAACAGTGGCCAATGCCAGGTGCCCCAGAGGGAGTGGACCAACAGGCAATGATCAAGTGATCTCTCTCCTGCCATCCATCTCCACCCTCTGACAGACAGAGGCTAGGGACACCATTCCTTACCCATCCTGGCTAATAGCCATTAATGGACTTAACCTCCATGAATTTATTCAGTTCTCTTTTAAACGCTGTTATAGTCCTAGCCTTCACAACCTCCTCAGGTAAGGAGTTCCACAAGTTGACTGTGCGCTGCGTGAAGAAGAACTTCCTTTTATTTGTTTTAAGCCTGCTGCCTATTAATTTCATTTGGTGACCCCTAGTTCTTCTATTAGGCAGCGGAGGAGAAGACTGAGATGGGGAGGGGAAGGGACTCAGCCAAGGCACACAGGGCAGAGCTCAATTAGAATCCAGGTGTCCCGACTAGCCCTGCTCGAACCTCGAGACTGAGTGCACAGAGCCAGCTGAAAGGGAGCCTGCTTCATGTAGGGCTGGGGGTTGTGTCTGCCAGCCAGGAGACCCAGCTTGTAGGTCCTGCGGGCTCCTCTGCCACAGAACTCGGGGCAGTGAAAGCCTTGGCTCTGTGGGGCTTCCCGCAGCCCTGCTCTTTTCACCCCTTCCCCGTTTTCTGAGTGGCACCAGTGGGTCAGAGCAGGAATTCAGTCCCCTGGCATCCCCCACCCACAGCTCTGTGAGGGCATTGGGCTTCAGTGCCACTTCCAGGGTTCCCAGGCCGAGGGTGGAAACATGATCAGGCAGCCCCAGTGGTCTCCTGGACCTGCTGCCCTGGAGGAGCAGCTGTTCCCCCGTGGGCTGTAGCATGCAGAGACTCGGTAGCTCAGTTCCTGTGAAGAGTTTATTGGTGCAGCCATTTCCACTACAGGTGGATGAGTCACAACGCACAGCCAGGCTGGCAGGGATGCAGCAACAGCACGCCTCCTACACGACACAGGGACAGGACACGCAGCCACAGACACACATCTCTTACCCAGGAGGCTTCACTGGCATCACAGGGGCGGTTGGTGTGCCAGGCTGTGGCCCGGCGGGAGCAGGTGCCCGGCCCTCCACCAGGCTGGTATCCATATGGCCCTGTGGCTGTAGTGAGCACTCCCACGCATGAGGTAGGGAAAGATCAGCCCCATTTCACAGATAGGAAACTGAGGCAGGGAGAGTCAGTGGCTTTGCTGAGGTCCCACAGGAAGTTCTGGTGGAGGCAGGACTCCCAGGCCAGCGCCTGCACCACAAGGTCCCCCTTCCTCTCATGCCTGTGTGGAGGGGCCGGGCACCTGCCTTCTCTGGCTTTGTCACATCAGGGCCTCCTGCCCCACCGAGCCTTGGTACCGGTGACCCTCGGGCTCCATGGCAGCTACCAGGTTACCCCCCGCCAGGCTGAGAGCGCCACTGGCGAGAGCTGCAGGGAGAGCTGGGCTCTGACGGGCCCAGGCAGCGACCCACATGAGGCCTCAAACCCTGACGGCTGGAGAGACCTCGGGCTTTCCAGGTGGGAAGACATTCAAGGTTGCCCAGGGACAGGCCTGGGTGCCAGGGGCTCTGGCTATCAGGTGCCTCCAGACACTGTGGGTGACCCAGGTATGGGGATAGGAGAGGTGGGGAGCCACAGCAACCCAGTCACCAGGGCCTGGGTGGCCCAGTCACTGTGGTGGAGGCTGTGTGTCCTGGTGACCCCAAACACCCGTGCTGTGGATGCCTGCTGCTGGGAGACAAGGTGGGGGAGGGAACATCTTTTACTGGACCTGTTCCTGGTGGTGAGAAAGGTGCTTTCAGACTGCAGAAGACCTCGGTGTAAGCGCCAAAGCTGCTCGCTCACCAGCTGAAGTTGGTCCAATAAAAGTTCCCTCCCGCACCTCGTGTCTCTAATATCCTGGGACTGACATGGCTACAACCCGCCGCATGCTCCATGGGAGACACTTTCTCTGGAAGCCCTCTCAGCCCTGCCTGCTCTAGGAGGCCCCTCCTGCTGCTCCTTCCCCTGCAGACATCACAATCCTTAACACTGACATCATAGCTGGTTACCGTGGGAATGCCCATGACCTCAGACCCCTCCACCCCAGAAATACAACTTGGAGCGATCAGCAGGGACGGCAGGCACCAGGGAATGGACTCAGACAGGCAGGGGGATGGGATTTGAACTCCTTGAGGCCCTGCCTGTCCACAGGGAAACTGCCTGCTGTTGGGACACAGGTGCATGGGCCAGTAGCACAGAGAGCCTGGGGCAGATTGGACACAGGCTCCTGAGTTCCCATCATCCTGGCCGTGCTGCAGCCCAGGATGGCACAGGAGCGCTGTGAGCAAACCAGGCAGGGCAGTCTGAGATGCGAAGCAGCCCGTGGCAGGGAGTCGTGCAAGGAGCCCACTTGTGTGCCCGCTAAGGGTGCTGGGCAGCCCAGCTGGGGGCGGCAGAGCAGGCAACTCTTGGAGTCTTGCCCTGCGCAGGCAGAGTCCGGCCGGGCACTGTGACTGGGGCTCTGTGCGGGGCCCATGCCTGCCTCAGGCTCAGTGGAACGTGGAGCTTGGGCTGGCATTTGGAGGAGCCGGAGCTCTGTGGTGAGTGGACAGGTGGTGGCTCCCAGCTGCATGGCCCCCCTTTGCTAACCCACATACCAGTGCAACCCCCAGTCTCCAGTAAGGGAGACCCATGACCCGAGGCAGCGCAGGCCCCTACAGAGCCTCTGGATGCGAGAAGCGTCTCCCGCTGGGTACAGGTGGAGACAGACTCACACTTCCACAGAGTGGATGAGAGGTGGGGTCAGGGACGGCCCTGCCCACCTCCCTCCAGGGTTTCGACACAGCTGCTCTTTGGTCCAGACAGGAAAACATCTGACGTGTAGTGAGTTCAAAGCCATTCTGATTGGGCCTTAGCCAGGGAGAACGCGTGGGAACGAGCAGCTTTCCACAGGGTGGGGGGCGGAGCAGCCGCTCACACAGGCATGTGCATCTCGTTGTACTCGTCCCGGCCGTCCTCGTCAAAGTTCGGCTCCGCGTCCTCCGAGTCCAGCTGTGGGCAGAGACAGAAGCTGGGCAGTGACCAGCGCAGGGCTCCTGGTGGCCGTCCCGCCAATCTCAGACACCAGCCCAGGGACCGGAGCCAGGGCCCTCACCCACCCCGCTGGGGGGATGTTGGTATCGAGCGCTTTGCCCATTATGTCGCAGGGTGCTCACATTGTCTCCTTCCCCCTCCCGCGTGACCCAGTCCTCCCTCCCCACTCCCTGGCTTGGTGTCCTTCCCCTGGACATTCCCCTTCCCCTGGTGGCTCCTCTGCTAGGTAGCAACAGCCCCTAGGAAAGGCTGTGAAGCTCCTCCACGCCTCCAGCTGCTGACGCAGGCTCGTCTCTGTGAGGACCCTGGACCCCACCCACAGAAGATGGAAAGAGGCCCCAGCCCCTGGGCTCTCGGTCTGGAGACCTCTGTGTTTGACAATAGCAATGTCCGGGGAACTGGGCATGTTGGCTGGGCTGTCCCAGCCGTTGCCAGGGAAGGGACGGCCAGATAGCTCCAGACCAACCTCACCAGATCCGGCAGCCCTGACCGTGGAGAGAGAGATGGAGCAGGGAGTCCCCGTTCCAGGCTTCTGCTTGGCATCTGTGCCCTTCCCACACTACAGGCTGTGAGCTCATTGGGGCAGGATCCCCTGGCTCTGTTGGAAAGTGCTGGGCCTGGCCTAGGCACTACTGCGGATAAATCACCACCCACAAGAAGCTGGAGAAAGCTCCCGGCCCCTCTGAGCAGGCAGTGCCCCACATGCCAGCTGCCTGAGCGAACTGAAGACGGCCCTGCCCCGGGGAGATGGATGCGGGTCACACACAGCTGCTTACGGCTTTGAGCTCCCGGTCCTGAAAGAAGCGGGGCAGCAGGAAGCGTCGTAAGGGCACCGTCATAATCAGGACAAAGGGGAAAGCTAACGAGGCCACTGTTGACTTCACCACCCAGAGCACCACGATGCAGGCCAGCTGAATGCAGGTGAAGAGGTTCATTCTCCAGGTCTTCACCTGGGGACACAAGTCCAGCCTAGCAATGCACCATCCCTCAGGGAGATAAGCCACCTCCCCCTCCCACCTGAGCGTCACGACGACCTCCCAGCCCCAGCGCCCCGTCTACAGCACGGCCCCACTGAACGCTCGGCCCCTCCAGCCCGTGAGTCACCCCTTCCTCCCAGCCCCGGCAGCCCGTCTACAGCACGGCCCCACTGAACGCTCGGCCCCCCATCCACCCAGCCCTGGCGCCCCGTCTACAGCACGGCCCCACTGAACGCTTGGCCCCTCCAG